AAAAAGTCACCAAAGAAATGATGTTTTTGAATTACAGTATTTGCAAAGTTTATTAAGTACCATGGACTTCCAGATGAAAGAACAGTTCTGTCTTGGAAGAAGTACAGGCAGAATATTCCTGAGAAACGATGCTGTGAAATTTTGTCTCACATACTTTAGACCTGTTATGGGGAATGACCCGTCCTTATACACAGAATCATGCTTGTAAAGCAGAGAAGTAGTGAAAAAGAGGAAGACTTTCAACAGCATGGAAGTCCCTCAATAAAAGAGACTCAAAAGAGACAGAGACAATGGGCACAGACCTTGCATGACTCAGGACAGGGCAGTGTTCCTTCTATTGCACGTGGGTCATGGTGAGTCTAATCTGCTAGAAGGCATGTAGCAGCAGCTCGACAAGTCTGTATGAATGCTATCAGAGTGGTTTCCATCCTCTCCCAGTCACGGGGGAGTATCTCATCTGCAAACATTTTATCCTATACCCCACACCGCATGTACAAGGAATACCTGTAATTCTATGAGAACAACCACAGCCTGATAGTCAAGAGATACATTTTGAGTTCTGGGATATGAACTAAAGATCAGGAGACTTTCAGCAAGCAGCGCCACTCCTCTATAACTTAAAATTCCGTAAAATAAAAATTATGTGCTTAAAAAAAAAAAAAGAACTTGTTGTTGTTGTCATTTTAGGAGCCATGAAATCCCTTAGTTTGGAAACCACTGCCCCGCACCACAGCTGCTTTCCAACATGAAGTCTGAGAATCTTTGTCGGGAAAGGGGATAGTGGCCCGTTGAAAAGTTTGACGGGAAATACATTTAACTTAAACCTCAGAACTTCTTGATCTCTGTCCTCGATTTTCCCTTTTTCTCCTTTCTTTCTGCTCTTTCTGGCCTCTCTGTTTTCAGTCCTGCCCCAGGTCGTGTAACTTTCTCTGGCATTGGGAGTAGACCCTTGTTACATGTTTTCAGCTCCTAGGACTTGGTTGGGCCCAGTCCTTAGACCGCCCATGGCATCATCCCAGCTGGTCAGGAAGTGGCACCATAGATAGCGCATACCCAAATCCCAATGTTCCTTAACCTTCAAGCTCCAACTGAGTTAGCGCCCTGGTCATTCTTAAAAGGGGAACCTAGAGCTGAGTTTATGTGGAATGAAGACACAAATGTAGGCCCAGGACCACATTCGCGGTGGTCAAGGCCGTCATAGTTGTTCTTAAAAGTCAGGCTAGCAGTTCGAAAGCAGCTCAGGAGAAAGGTGAGGTTTTCTATTCCCGTAGAGTCTCTGTCCAGGAAACACACAGGTCTACCTTGCCCTGTAAGGTGTCTGTGAGTCGGAGTTGACGATGGCGGGGAGGGTGAGCACACCAGGAGGGTCCTCATGAAACTCCTTTTGGGTGCAGTGTGGGAAGAATTCATGCGCATCAATATAGCTTGTTCCTTTCTTTCAAATCCAATCATATCATCAACTGGCTTAAATCCAGAGTGTCCAGTTGGGGCTTTGTGAACCTCTGATAAGGACTCTGCCTCTTTCATGGTATCTAGGCCACAAGAGCCAAGCTTATTGCTGGCCAAATGTTCTGTGTGCACCCCCACCCCACCCCCGCTCCCCATTTTCCACTCATCTTTGCAAAAAGCAATGAAAGCAAACAACTAAGCAGACCAACAATGCTTTTTCAAATTAAAAAAAAAAAAGCATTGGGACTTTTCTTTCAAAGAAAATCCCAAGTGTTAAGCCAGCTGCAGCTTCTCCCTGCACAATGGCTCCTTAGGGACAGCTGAGAAATCACTAAGGCTCTGTAGATCACTGAATGAAAGCCACAAGGAAAATTCAAACTGTAAACCCTGATGTAAAAAATGACCTTCCTGTGGAAACTGGTCAAACCATTGTACCAGAGCTTCCCAGTCATGTTTGACAGTGGGTCCATGAAAGTCCATGTTGAGTGGATAGATTTTATATGTTAACCCTGTGTTAGGCCGGGTTCCCTAGAGAAACAAAACCAGGCCACTTATGATTATTTCTATATATCTACATCTATATATATATGGATAGGTTTATATATAACATCTAATTAGTCCATACAGCGGTACAGAGGGTTCAGTTCAACTCACTTCCATGGAACAGTTAATATACTGGAAGTCCTTCAACTCACGTGGGCTGCCGGATCCAAGGTCAAGGAAAGACAGCAGAGTCCTCCCTGGGGCAAGACAAGTAGAGTGTGCCCACAGGCAGCAAGCAGCAAGGTGGGTCAGCCAGGGTCAGTAACTGGGGAGCTTAGCAAAGCAGGCCCAGATGGGATTTCGAACACAAGCAATGCAAGGAGACTGGCTCCACCAGCCTCAAGCTCAAGTGAGCTGCTCATAAGTAGCTTGGTGAAGCAGGTCTCAAAGGAGCCTCAAGTTCTAGTAACACGATCCATGGTTGCCCTGACCCACAGGTAGTGTAGCTCATAGGTTGAGGCAGAGAACTAGCTAAAGCAGCAGCATACAGGCTCCAATCACCAGAGAGCAAGAGAGAGGGGAGTGGGCCTTGCAGAGCCATTTATCTCTTCGCCCTCCAATCAAACTGCGACCTGATTAATCCCACATGTTCCTATTGGCCAGGTTGGCACAATAAACCTATCACAGTCTGTCCCTTGCCAACTATATTGTGTTAGTTTGAGTTGACTGGAGGAACAAATCCAAAGACAGTCATAGGTGTATAAGAAATAGATTTATATAAAAGAGCAATTATAATTGAGAAAACATTCCAGCCCAGTCCAGATCAAGGTCTTAAGTCCAGTATTAGCCCATATGTCCCATACCTGTCTATAAAGACCTCTTCAGACTCACGCAACACACGCAATGATGCTGAATGCAGGAAAATCACAGGCCAGTAGGTGGAAAGTCTTGTGGATCCAGTGGCGGTGGAAGCATCTCAGCGCTGGCATGGGTCTCCACGTGGCTCCTCCAGCTCCAGGGCTCTGGCTCCATCAGCGTAGCTCCATGTGGCTTGTCAATCAGAATGTCTCAACAGCAGGCAAGGGAAGGCAGGGAGAGTGGGTCTGGCCTCCAGTGAGCTGTTTGTCTCCATTGCTCCTCCAAGACAAGGTCATCAAGCTGCAACCTGATTGACAGGCTAGATGCCACCTCTGCTCAAGTTGACAGGAGATTATGTGATTGCCACAAGTGCCTTTTTTTTTTTTTTATCTCAACTGACATTTTCAGGTGGCATTTACTATATAGAGCAGAGTCAACCTTTAGTTCTGTGCGTTTTGCTTCCTAGCACACTTTCTATATCACTTAGGCGCGAGGTTGCTACTGGGACTAAAATACTTTCCTTCTACTAATATAAAAATTAAATTTCAGACTGGCCCAGATTTCTCTGTCACAGATTTGATGACAGCTAAATTCACGCTGTGTGGTATCTTTCCGTCTAAAGCCATCGATTCACTAGTTCACCTTTCCTTTGTGTCTTTTAGTTTGCCAGAGTTTGGATACCTGATCCTGAAGAAGTTTGGAAGTCAGCGGAGCTGCTCAGGGATTATAAACCAGGAGATACAGTCCTCCAGCTTCGCCTCGAGGAAGGAAAGGTAAGAATTTTCCTTTCACTTCTTGCTTTGGGATCAAGTGATGGGAGTTCAAAAGTGTAAGTTGCCTGTGACATAGTTGACCTCAACTGGAAGTTACATTTAAGCCAAATGCATATACCGTATAGACTCGTGTATACGCCGAGTTTTTCAGCACATATTTTATGCAGTTTTTGTGGTAAAATTAGGTGCCTCGGCTGATGGTTGGGTTGGCTTATACTCGAGTATATATGGTATTTATTTACTAACTTGATAAAAAATTGTAAGCTCAATTTTTTGTCCTAAGTGAACTACTATTAACATGTCAGTGAAAGTAGCAGATCATTTAAAAGCCATGATTTTTGGTTCAATTTTATTATGATTAAGATTAGATTCACATCTAATCCTCCCCAGGTTATTCTGTGTCGACTAGAATTAAAGTGATGTAATATTACCTAAGAATACATTATCTAAGGAACCAGTTTAAGAGTTGATATTTGTGGGAGACTAATTCTTGGTAGCTCCATGGTTAAACACTCTGCTAACTGAAAAGTCAGCAGTGTGAACCCACCAGATGCTCCGAGAGGAAAGGCCTGTCACCTGCTACCACTGAGTAACAATAGTATCTAAGAGAATAAAATAACC